CTTTTGAGATGTCAGTTGTCTGGGTCCTGTTCTCTCAGTGGATGCAGCAATGTTTTGAATTGATGGCTTACCTTTCCAACGTTCTAAGCTCCCCTAAGAAGACTCTCATCTAACCGTGTCTTTGGGTGGATTGGAACCTCCCACTTTTCGGTTAGCAGCTGAGCATGTTCCTGGTTTGCACCACCCAATGACTCCTCTTTCTAGATGGTACAGTGTGGTGGTTGGGTGCCACCACATTGGTTCTGGCTGATAGCGATCCCTTGTGATAGAGCGCCACCTCCACCACAGGATTTCCTGTGCTGTCCTTGTTAAGGCAGGTGGTCACTCGGCCTTTCTGGCACTGGGTGGGTTTGAATCACCAACCTTTCAGCTAGCAGCCATGTGCTTAATCATTTGCATCACTAGGACTCCGTTACTTCCACCTAAATCTTGTGAATTGTCTATTTCATGATTAGTTTAAAAGAACCCACTCTGGAGATTGTTGAACGTCTCTCTTTATCTTTGTTTGTTTGCTTCTCTCTCTCTCTCTCTCTCTTTTTTTTAGCTCTCATTTTATTAACATCGTTCTTCTTAGTTTATTTACTGGTTAATTCAGATGTTCCTTGACTCGCTTGTCAAGCTGAATACGTAGATGATTACTTTTCGGGATCCTTCTTTCTTTATAAAAATATTTATGCATCCAGTTCTCTGAGAACATCACTTTCACTCCATCCCAAATGTTTGATTAGGTGCGTTGTGCTACTATCATTCAATCCTTAACATTGTTAAACCCTCATGATGTTTGGTCTCTCAAATCTTATGATATTTGGGAATTTTTTAAAAAACGTCAACACACATGGAGATTTTAACAGTCTTTTCATAATTAAATTCTAACTTAATTTTACTTTAGTCATACTACATACTTTCTATGATACCTATTTTTCATATTTGTTGAAATTTGATCTGTGTTCCAGTCAGTGAGTTCTCTTAAAAATTTCCTGTGCAGAAAAAAATGAAATAAAGTTTCCTATGTGTGCTGAAGAAGAAACAATATTTTCTATCGATTAGATGTAAATTCTATATGAAATCAACAGGTCATTGTGTTAATTGTATTGTTCAAATTTATAGCTTTACTGATAGACTTCTTGACCTATCCTTATTTGGGAGAGGTGTGTTGAGATCTTATGTTAGTATATTTGTCATCTTCTCTTTGTTGTTCTATAAATATGTTTCTTATATTTGGCATACATTAAAATTAAAATTGCATATTTTAGAAATAGCTCTCTTCTCAGTGAATTGAACATTGATCACACATAGTGATTCTCTTCATCGCTATTGATACTTTTTGATTGGAAGTCTGTTTGGGTCTCAAAATAGCTATACTGATTTGCTATTGGTTAGTAGATGCCCAAGAGCCTTGGTGGTGCAGTGGTTTAAGCTTTGGGCTGAAAACACAAAAGTTGGCAGTTCAAACCCACCAGCTGCTCTGCAGGAGAAAGACTTGGTGATCCGCTGCTGTAAAAACTACAACCTAGAAAACCCTATAGAAAAGCCTGGGAAGCCTGATGTCCCTGTGAGTCAGTACCTCAACGTCAGCCAACAACCCTAGATACTC